TCGACGAGGGCTGCGGCGGTGCGCGCGAGCCGGCCTCCCACCCGGCGTCCGGCCGACGCTCTCCGGCGCCGGCTCGCCTCTCAAGGCATTCGGCGGGGGCTGCGCATGCTGCCCGGCTAGCGCCGACGCCTCGCCCGCCTGCGACCTCTGCCACGACGACGGCGCCGACAAGACGGCCGAGGAGGCTGCAGCGGCTGACGGCGGGCCTGCTGAGGGCGCCGGCGGGGGGAGGGGGGGGCAAGCGCCGCCGCCACAACAAACGCGGCGGAGCCGGCGGCGGCCGAGGCGGCGCGGGCGGTCTCCGCCAGGGCGGCGACGGAGGCGGCGGCGAGAGCGGCGGAGGCGGCGACGGCCGCAGCGACGGCGACGGCGACGGTGGCAGCGACGGCGGCGGCGACGGTGGCAGCGACGGCGGCGGCGGCGGCGGCGGCGGCGGCGGCGGCGGCGGCGGCGGCGGCGGCGGCAACGGCGGCGGCGGCGAACAGAATAATACGGATTCTGACATCCGCTGTATAGTGTATTATACGTGATCTGTGTGTACTTGTTACGTGAAAACCCGCTGGGACCCGGACGCCAGCACACACGGCTAGATTTCATGGCGGGCCGCCTAGGCCCTGGGGTCGGAGGCAGAGTCGGTGGGGGTGCCGCGCGCGGCGCGGGCTTCGCTGTCGGGGGCGTTTAGGGCGGGGTCGGGGAAGGAGGGTGGGGTCGGTCGCATTGGCGGCCGCGCGGCAGTGGCTGCGAGGGGGGCGGGAGGAGGTGGTGGCGCCGACCGCAATGGCGGCCGAGGACCCGACGTCGAGCGCCGGGCGAGATCGCGAGGGTCGAGGGTGAGCTCGAAGCCGAGGGCGGCGGCCGAGTTCTGGATGGTGAGGGCGTCGGCGGTGACGATGGCGGCGGAGATGGCGGCGGAGTGGAAGGTGTAGTGTGAGCGGGTGGACGCGCGAGAGGTGCCATACGGCGTGTGGTCAATGGACCCACTAGCGCGTGCGGTCCTCGCAAGCCGGCGGAGGACGCGATCGAGGTCGGCGGAGAATGCTCCGGTCGACTCGGTCACGAGGAGGATGACCGTGTGGCCCTTGGCGAGGGCGTCGGCATAATCGCCGTCCTTCGCTGCCACCCATCCGTCGCCGCTGACGCGGTCCAACTGCTCCTCCGTGTCCGGGTCACCCCGTTGGGGGTGGCCGAGAACGACGACGGAGAGGTGCTCCTCAGTGTTGCCAAGCGCGATGAAGTGCCCGTCGGCACGGGAGGCGGCGCCTCCGCAGCGAGCAGAGCCGTTGCCCTTTGCGCCGGAGGGGAGGAACGGAGTGTAGCACTTGAACTCCCAGCACGTGGTCGTGGAGCCAAAGCGGATCAAGTCTGGGATGTGTCCCTTGTTGACGTGGGCGTAGTAGCCCCTCCGCTCAGCCTTGGAGGCGGGGGTCCCGTCTCCCTTGTCGGCCAGCTGGATCGAGCCGACTGGCAGGGCGTCGCTCGTGACGCTGGTGAGCGCACGGTGGACGGCTGCAAGTGCGGCGTTGTGGCGGTGGGTGGCGTTGGCGGAATTGAGGCAATGGTCGCCGAGGCGTTGGTGCTGGGTGACGGTAACGCCGCGCTCCTCGAGCGCGTGTGAAACCGGGAGCCAGCCATCCAAGCGCAGAGCTCGAGGGTAGATAGCCCCAAGTGCGAGCGAGCTTGTCTCGACATCTCTGCCACACATGGACACGGAGCCACCTCGCGTGATCTTCTACTCGAAGGCTGTACGCGACCTGCACTGGGCTCTCGCGTCGCCACACCTCCTGACGCCAGCGGCGGGCGTGCCGGTCGCTAGCGACGGCTGGTGCCGCCAGCTCTGTCAGGAGTCTCTGTCGTGGCTCCGAGAGCTCGACGCGCAGCCCGGCCCGCTCGAGGAGTGGCTGCAGCGACAGCGCAACGTCCGCCGCCTGGGCTTCTACTTTGCCGCGCTGCTCGAGTTCTGGGTGCGGCGCTGCCCAGCTCTCGGCAGCACGGCTGAGCTCTAGATGCATCCAGAGACGGTACACGGTGTGCGTGAAGCCTGCCGGCCCAATCCCCGCGATCCATCACCGCCGGTCCCATCACAGGCGGCCGACGTGCTCGTGCAGCAGCAGATACACGCGGGCGTGGATGGCGAGGTGGCAGGTCAGCTCAAGCTGGCCTTTGCGCGGCGGAGCGTCGAGAAGGAGGCGCGCTCGTGGGCCGTGCCCAGAGACGCTGTGAGGAGACGCTTGTTCACAGCCGGCGGTGCGATCAGGTGGAGGTGGTGCACTGGGAGAGCCACGTCAAGTTCTTCGCCTGGCGCGGCGACGGGGCGAACTTCTAACATCAATCACAACAACCTCGAGGTCACACTGTGAGGTCACTGTACGCAGGTGCGGGGATGAGGCGGTCGGATGCGAGCGCTGCCCGGCGCCACCTGTGGTCGCCGCGGGCGAGTCCACGGGCGGAGGAGCGGCAGCGGAGGCAGAGGCGCCGTCATCGCACGCACCGGAGGCGACCGTGTGTGCTCGCTGGCGACGCAAGATGCTGCATGCGGACGATGTGGCGGAGGAGGAGGTGGCGGAGGAGGAGGTGGCGGAGGAGGAGGTGGCGGAGGAGGAGGAGGAGGAGGCCGGCGGAGCGAGCGAGGAGCCCCTCGTCACATCCGAGCGCTTCGTCTTCTTCGCACCGCACGGCTCGCGCGACGCCGACGCGCACGCCATGTACGCGAACGAAGCAGCGGCTGCTTCCGCACCGAAGTGGTGTCCCAGGCCTGTCGCTGCACAGATCGAGAACCAGTGAATTCTAACGCGCCCCAAGATAGGGCGAACTGGAGCATCAGGGCGGGGCGGCCGCTCTGAACTA